ACAAAAACTTATTGCTATTAGTCAATTGATTTGAAGCCTTGGTGAAAACATATGGAGGCTATAATCTAGCAGGGCATAGTTATTCAATACTTGGATAAAATTGTAGATTGTAGCTTGAAGCAGTATGAAAAGTAAAAAGGAAAGATATACTAATCCTGTTCTCTTTGGCTTCTGTTATATCTCTAAAAGACCAATACTCAGGAAGTGTTATTTTATGGCAATAAGCAAGAAGAGAGGCATTTCTTGTTCTTCACTAGTTATTTCTCCTAAGGAAGTATTAAGAGTAGTTTAGTGCTCCTGGCAAAAGGTTCTCAAATTTTGACACAGTGGCCAATCAGGGCATTGTGACGGCAAAAATTGTCATGAATTTGCATGCCCTCCTTCAGGGTCTTAAATCATAGTTCTGCCCTCTGTGTTTAAGTTCTGTGCTTAGAGATGCTAAATCGTATCTGCAATAATTGTCTCATCGTGTACAGTCTCAAAGTTGTCTTAAAACAACTGTAATAGTAAACATTTTTCTTGTGCAAAGCCCTGTCTGTGTATTGAGGTCTGTACTGTGCCTAAACCTCCTTGAATGTGAATATAAGAAACTATATATAGAACAGTGAAGTGCTACCTATAAATGTATAGATATCAAGTCCTACCTATAAACATATGCTTCAATCAATGTTAATGGCACTAAAATGTGCTTAACTTTTGCTGGATCTAATATAGGATTTCTTAAAAACCCTTGATAAACAATGATGTTCTGTCTGTCTTCCATGATGCACTTGGAATCAATTCAGGGAGAAAAGGCTTAAGAACATGAGTGCTCCCATTAAAACCTATTCACAATGTTATTTTGCTTTACCTAGAGTTGCAACTCTATAGTACTGATTCCAGTCTTAACAATCCTCATTTTTACATCATACACATATACCCAGGACATTCACTTCTGGGGTAACCAATGTTATTCAAAGCATAGGAAAAGAGTAAGAAATAATAAGTCAAAGAAATTAAAGGCAGGAGATAAGAGAAGGGACAAAGAAATCCAGCTAGACTGACTTTATACCAATACTGTTCAGTATTCCTCTTCAGACGTTTTTATTACTTCAAACCATAATTGCTTCTGGATTCAGTCCTGAAGCAGAACCGGCTGGATTTAGTGAATGCTTGGGGTATGTTTGCATAACGAAGCCTATTATATTGTCTTTGCTTATGTTTGGATATACCCAAGCTCTGCTGAAACATATTTTTGTTTCATCTTATTATTACACCATAATCTTAGTTCTGAAAATGTCAGCTGATTCCAAATCTACAACCATATTATTAACCATATTATTAAGAACTGTAGAAGCTTCTTGGATGAGAAGCGAAACGTCTTCAAGGAAAAACAAAGAAAGTCCAGTTGCCTTTTGAAAAAGCACCTTTGGGACATATTATTAACCACAAACATTTTTAGAGAGCACCTTTAGTTTCTTGCTAAAAAGGATTCTGGGGCTACTTGGTCTGCTTTTGGTCACAGTTATTTCAGCTGTTTATGAGTTACATGTTTTAATATCCGACTATTTGAAATATCTTGTTGTCCCCAAAGAGGCTGAGCTTTTAAAGACATTGAGAAAATTAAATGCTTTTCAAAAAAGATTGCAGTACTGAAGCATCAGAGTTTCCTCCTATTGGATAATAGCATGTGACAATTTATGAGATATATACAGGGGTGAAATCCAGCAGGTTCTAACAGGTTCTGGAAAACCCGTAGCAGAAATTTTGAATAGTTCAGAGAACCGGCAAATACCACCTCTGGCTGGCCCCAGAGTGGGGAGGGAATGGAGATTTTGTAATATCCTTCCCCTGCCATGCCCACCAAGCCATGCCCACAGAACTGGTAGGGAAAAAATTTGAATTTCACGCCTGGATATATATATATCTCAGCTCTCCTCCAAGAGCTCAAATCTTGTTAGACAGGGTTTACATTTTATCCTTGCAACAACCACCCTGTGAGGTGGGTTGGCCTAAGGAAGAGGGAGACCAAAGATCCAAAGTTATTAAATAGGTTCTTTGACTGAAGGTGAATTACAATTACAAAATCTTAACCACTATATTCCCCATGGGTTATCTTCGCATAACAAAATATACATTATATCTATACCTCCCTCTCTGTCTCGAGGTAGGATAATAATTCAGCTTTCCCTGACCTCAACCTCTCTAGAACTATTTAGTCTGCATTTTCCTGATGTCTCTATTGGCTGGAAATTCTGGAATTTCATTTTCAACATATTGGAATGGTTCCGACCGTTTAAAGATCACATTCACAAACAAACTGCCTTGGCATTAAGTGAAGTACATAATGCCAATAAATTTTAATTTATATCAAATTTAATTCTGCAGAAGATTTGCTAAGAATGACATTTCTCTTTCATACACATACACACAAACAGACACAGATTTATTCTTAGTTTTTTTTTTTTTTAAGGAAACTTTCAGATGTTGTAAATCAATTCCTTATGTCTCTTCTTCATTCATCTGCTACACATTAAGTTGAAACTCTGGGCATCTAGTCATTACCCAATAGCCTTTCATCTCTGGTGAAGCCTGGGACCAATTAAAATCTTACTCTCCCTTAAAGAATGGATGTGCATTGCTCCATGCTGTAGATTTTGCCTGTGATTTTTGCCACTTCTTTCAGGATGGAGCAAGGACTTAATTGGAATTTTTGCACCTAAATCACTCTAGATTTTAACAACTTACTAAACACATTAAATATCGTGCTTAGAATAATTAAAAGTGTGTAAATATTTCAAAGTAGATAAATCGTGCGAAATATTTCACATAATGTTAAAATACTAAATTAAGATATTATCTTACCAATATCTTAATTTAGTATTTAAAAATTATTGAAACCTACACTCACAAAAATGTTGGTACATGTAAAAAGATATGATAAAAAAGAAAGACCATAAACAAAATCTCCCATCAATGTTAAGCTGAAAGAAATTATACTTAGCATCTGTTTATTGGGGGCAGGTTTAATCAAGACTTCCCTTTCCGCATGGATTTTAACATTTCTTTTTTCTCTGAAAGACACAAGAATTCATTTTATCCAAAACACTTTAGGATTTGCAACAGAATATATGATCCTCCCCTCTGTATCCTTACTTCCTGTTATATATGGTGCCATATGTGCCCCACAAAAGCTTTCACTGACATCTTCCAGCCTGAACTAAGGTTTATCATCATTGTCCCTAATTTACTCTTTGTTGCTCTTGAATCTGTTTTCTTCTGCCAGATGCTGTTTTCCCACCATTCCCTTTACAGAAAACTCTGCAGTTGAAGTAATGGATTCCAGTTCAGAAAAGGATCTCACAAATCTGATAACATCTTTTGTTTGCATTCTAAAAACCTCTTCTTCATTGATCATACAAGTATACTAAAAGTCCTATTTTTAGGATTTTTATTATACTTATACAAAATGTTTTATTTCCTACTGAAATACATGCCCTTTCTATTGGTTGGAAAGTATTTGAAATGCAATCTATTTTGAAAGTGTTTTAACTATTATAGACAATTTAAATATACCTTAAAACTAGTTAGAAATCCCCAATATAAGATTAAACTTCTAATAATATTTATCAAGTGAGATTTTTTCCAATGTTAATGTAACTATTGCCACAAGATGACATTCTTTTATTATTTATTATGCCTATGAATATGTCCATCCTATCTACATTATGGAGGAACCTGCATGCAATCACAAAATAAAATATGGAAATTTAGAGTAGCATTTTCAGTGACTGCATTGTAGCACACTGTGGAATACATGAAATCCGAAGGAAAACATGAGCTCAATAAAATATGATCTAAATACTTTTAAAACTATTTTAATATTTGCATTGGAGAATTCAAAATATCCTCACTTCAAAATCCTTAGTGGGATTATTCCATACTAAATTAGCACAAACATCGCAATCTCAGGCTGACATAATGATAATGGATAACTTTATCTTAATGTACAATTTATAGTTTGTATTTTCTTTTTCTTCCATCACATCCAATTCTCAGAAACTATCTGGAAAATCCCTGCAGTTCTCTTGGCAAGTTTTTTCAGAAGTGATTGGAAATTGCCTCCTTAGGGCTGGGAAAAAGTGAGTGGTTACCCAGCTGATTTCATGCCCAATGCAGAACTAGAACTCAGGGTCTTCTGGCTTCTAGCCTAATAATGCCTTAACCACAACACCAAATTGAGTCAAACTTCGAGTAATAGAGATTCAAAGTTCACCCCAGTGAATAGAATGGAAAGTACAAGAGTTAGGAGATATCTCTGTCAATCATAACAAACAAAGGAATGTTTCGGCTTGTTATATGGCAACTCATATGAACCTAGGGCACCTAAGGCTGTATACAATTACTTAATTTTAGAAATGGCTGGCCATTGCCTTCTTCCTGGGGCTGGGAAAGAATGTCTGGTTCAAAATTTACTTTTGTGCCTAAAAGAGTATTAGAATTGAGGTCTCCCTACTCCAAGACCAGTTCCTAAACCTCTAAACCAAATTGGCTCTCAACTTTAAACATATTCAAAAAATAAAACCAATCAGATTTATTACTGCAACATTATCTAATCCAGGAGTGTCAAACTCAAGGCCTGGGGAGCGGATCCGGCCTGCGGGGTGCTTAGATCTGGTCTGTGGGACTGCCCTGGAAACAGCAAAGGACTGGCCCACAGTGCCTCTGCTAGGAAAAACGGGCTCTCGAGCTCCGTTTTCGGCTGCGATGGCATCCTCCAACCCTCTGCCAGTGAAAACGGAGCTCGGGCTGTGTAGTTTTTAAATTTACTCAATGATCAGGAGGAATCATCATCATCATCCTTCTTCTTCTCTTTCTTCCATAGACTAGAAAGTTCCTGATAATTTATGGATTCGCTAAAACTTCTATTGCCAATTCTGATAAATGTATCATTTACTTATTACTGTGTCTATACTTTTTGGACACAGATATGGCCTAATTCTTCACCATGAAATTCTCACCTCACTAGAATCCTCTTGCTGATTGATCACACTTAATGCATCCTCTGCAGCCTGTCGCTTGGCCTCTGCCACTGTGCGCTCCATTTTAGCTCTCTCCGAAGTAATCATATCATGGGCTTTCCGTTCTGCCTCTGACACTGCCTTCTGCAACTCGGTCATTGCTTGCCGTTTTACTTCATTGACTGCTTCCTCTGTAAACAAAATAAGAAATTTCTCTTGGTTCAGCAGGAGCAAGATCAAAAGACGACTGATTTCTATGCACAAAAGTAGTTAGATTATGGAAGCTACTGATCTATATAATGTCGATATTCTATATTTGGGTAAATGTCCTTAAATTCAAAGAGTACATGACACCAGCTACTAAACAACAGAACATATTTTCGTTTTATAATATATTAGGGTCCCAAAAGAGGTGTTCTATGCTGTAGATGGTATCAGAGGGGTAATATTCACAAAGCTATCATAATAAATTTTGACGCACAAATCTTTGCTCCAGAAATGCAGATCTATAACCATTATGAAAAGAGGACATATTAATTACTGGGAGGAACAGAGAAATAGAAAATGACTAATTAACCTTAACATAAATCCCAGAGGACAAAATAACACAGAAATGGTACAAAAACGTCATAGAAATTTGGGTAAATACAGTAACAGGTTTTTTTTAGAAATTTCCTCTAACCTGATTTCAAATACAGTACTTGTATTGCAGAGGCTTGGTAGGACAAAAAAGAACAAAATTGGCACAAGTCCAGATTTCACAGTTAAAACAGTTTTTATGGGACTTTGGTGGTGGCTGAACTCAATGGTGTTCATGGCTTTTTTTCAAATATCTTTCTAGAAAGCAGTGTTTTAGAACAATGCAAAGAGAGTTATCATGTCTTCCATTTACATTAGCTAGCAAAAATTACCATAATGCAATATTCTTTTTCACAGTGTATAACATGATTTGTCGTCAATGAGCTGACTGGGTTTTGTTTGATGCAAGAGAAATGGAAGATTTCATGTATTCAATTGACAACTAAAACAAGTGATTTAAAAAAATAACACTAACTACTCTAATTAACAAGGAAACTATCCTCCCTCTGATTTAGTGTATCTAATTTTCATCTTTATTCAAAGCAAAATGACAATGATTAATTGAAAATTTAATAAGCACTAATTATTAACTTGGCAAATGTAGTACCAATTAACACTCTATTAAAACTAATTATGACATGTTTCATTCAAGTATTTGCACTTAATTGTTTCACCCACTTAAGAAGCACCTTAATTAAATGTTCTGTTTAATTAAAAACATAAGATTTCTAATAAAAATGTTTAACTGTAAAATAAAAATATTTGAGTTACAAAAGCTCAATGGTTATAGTGAGATGTACATTATTTTCCAGTATTATAAATTCAGTTCTCCTTATCTGATGCCATTCTATTCTTAAACTTATCTGAATTTAAAGCTACAATCTTAAGAATTCTTATTAGAGATTAAGTCTCAATGAGACTTACTTGTATGAAGATAAGCAAATAACTGTGCTCTTATTAACTGCATAGAGTAGATTGAGAACCTTGGACCTGCATTGGGTATGCTTAAACTTTTGGCTGAAGAATATCAAAACTTCCATCTCATCATCAACTGCATTTAAAACTTGTCTTCGTGTCAAAAGAAGTCCGATTTTATATGTGATAAATGTGATCTCTCTCCCTCCCCCTCCCTCTCCCCCTCCCCCCTCTCTCCTGGCAATAGAATTATCACTTCTTCTAGATAGCTGGAAATGTAAGACATTTCAGTGACCAATTTGGATAAATATTTATCAGCTTAATAAACCAAAACGTTCACACATTTTCTGTAGTAGCATGTAGGAGTTCTGCTACGTTACTGTATCTGAAGGCAATACAATATATTCAATTAATCAAGCTGTTCATATTGTTCAGAGTATGGAAATTGCCAGATGTAGAACCTTTCTCTGTGAAGTATAAGGGGCAGATGCCTTTCCTTTTTCTATCTTTTCACTCTAAAAATGTTTTTTTCCACTGTTGTTTATTCACTGAAATAACCTAATCTATAGGAATGTGTGGAAAAATTATACAAAAAATTGGAATACGTTTTTGTAACTATAATTCTCTTATTAGCTTGAATGAAAAGTATTGATCCGTCTGATAATTCCAAATAGTTATCATGCATTACATGTGGCACCTTCTGTATCTGGAACACATGGTTATTAATATCTCACCCTCTTTTAAAACATGTTGTGATAAATATTGATATTGTGCCTAGAGAGGAAAAATGCTAAGTTTATGAAACTTAAAATATGTCTTCACTTTACCCTCCCGTAAATATTTGGAGGCTATGCAAGTCAAGATTCATCTATTTTGAATATTCAAGGTGAATTACTATTCTGTGTAAGTGGCAACAGGACAATAATTTTTGCTTACGATCAAAGCTGCAGCTTGACTAATTGTATATGCAAATAAGGCAATTTATATTTAAATTATGCATTCCTATTCTAGTCCCACCGGCATACAAAGATCAGCAAAGAGAATTGGTAGGACATTTGCAAGATGTTTGAATATTTATTACCAACTGCAAACATTTTCAGATTCCTTGAAAAAGAAATACATGAAGACAAATCCACAAATGAAAATCATATTATTGTCTTTACAAACGTTTTTAAAAAGAAGAAATGAACTTGATTACAGGCTCTTTTATGTGTAATTACCAACCACATTTCTATTTTATAATATTTTGTGTAACCTGAAAAATTACAAATATTAGTGCTTACCCTTGGAGCCTAGAGTTTTATAAGCATACAGTACTGCAAAACATTACCAAAGCAATAATAATTAATATCAATTAATATTTTTTAGAAATCAACCGACATATAAACCTAGGGTCTGCTTATTGTGGTTCTGAACCCAAACTTCAGCTGAACATGCTAAATGCATCTTTAAAATAGGGTAATAGTTTAATAAAAGGGACATTTGTGGCAATTTTTGTGCTAGCATGTAGAAAGAGCACAGGAAGTATCCAACACAAAATTAGAAATGGGGAGATATTCTAAAGTTTCTTTGGCCCGACCAAAAAATGAATTATTTTCATTCACAAAAACTCAGAAACAATTTCCTGTCTTGATCCATTCAGCAGTAAGAAAATGAGAAATATCTTCCTTGCAATTAGAACAATTAATCAGTGGAACAACTTGCCTCCAGAAGTTGTGAATGCTGCAACACTGGAAGTTTTTAAGAAGATGTTGGATAATCATTTGTCTGAAGTGGTGTAGGGTTTCCTGCCTAGGCAGGGGGTTGGACTAGAAGACCTCCAAGGTCCCTTCCAACTCTGTTATTCTATTCTATTCTATTCTATTCTGTTCTGTTCTGTTCTGTTCTGTTCTGTTCTGTTCTGTTCTGTTCTGTTCTGTTGTTCCACCAATCAATTTCCCAATTCTTGCCTTTGTTTAGTACAAGGGGGAGATACTGTCAGTAGTTCAAGTAACAAGAAGAAATCATAAGAAAGAAAAAAATGGGGAACTCTTTTTGGTTTTGTAACTCCCAATCCCGAAACCCATTCCTCATCTTTGTAGAAAGAGATAGAAAAATAAGGGGGGGGGATCCCTCTTCCTACTCATTGCTATATTCATACTTGTATGATAGTAAATAATGGGAAGAGTAATATGGGAAATGTTTTGGGATGTGGGTGATCAACAATAACTGGTAAAAAGATGAGAATATTTGTCTGATCCAAATCATGGACTTTAAAAAAATTCATCCCCCAAATTTAATTTCTCAACTTTATCAGCATCATTAAGACAGACAATTTACCATGCTAGATTTCCTTTGGATTTAGCCAATAGATTCAATTGCAGTCAAGCAAATACACATATTTATTTATAGTTCAGGCTTCTCACAAAGTCTATAAGTGAAAAAAAAACAAAAAACCAATGTAGATCTCATCATACAACACAATGGCTTTATTAGCAGTTATTGCCTGCCAACCATTGGAATAATGATGTATAAAAATCATTAGATTTAGACTTCTCCAGAAGGATAGGTAATATAATTTAGTTATCTTTCTTCTTCTAGTGTTATATTAATACCCCTTTATCTTCTGACATAGATGCTGATGTAATTAAAATTATTTTGTGTTCTGATCCATTCCAGCTAAGCATTAGGAATTGAAACTGGTTTATTAATAAATGCCTTTATTTTTTTCTTTTTAAAATTCCTTATATCAAAGCATATTAACAAATACACACAGCTGCCAAAGTGTTATGCTCATGTTTTTAAACAATTCTTACCAGCTTTCTTCCAGATCTCCTCTGGCACATATCCAGAAGCAGGCCTGTGAAGGAATTCCCGATGTGAGTCTATAAGAACCAGGGGGAGAATAAGAGAAATAAAACAGTATAATTTAAATACTGGTTAAATAGATTTTTTTTTAAAAAAAGCTGCTTTTCATAATTCAGTCAAGGGATTAAAAGTATAACCCTGATTAAAAATGAAGAGAGCAATCATGCTTTTATTCCAAAATTCCTTATGAAACATTTGAAATAACTCCTACTACCGGTTCTGTGGGCGTGACTTGGTGGGTGTGGCAGGGGAAGGATACTGTAAAATCTCCATTCCCACCCCACTCCACAGGAAGGTTACTGCAAAATCCCCATTTCCTCCCAATCAGCTAGAACTCGGGAGGCAGAGAATAGATGGGGGCGGGGCCAGTCAGAGGTGGTTCTCCGAACTACTCAAAATTTCTGCTATTTCTCCAGAACTGGTCAGAAGCTGAATACCATATATATATATATGTGTGTGTGTGTGTGTGTGTGTGTGTGTGTGTGTGTGTGTGTATGTGTATGTGTATATGTATATCGTAGTTTTTCCATATATATACATATATATATGGAAAAACTACGATTAGTCCCTGAAATGTACCCTAAGTTGCATTATTGCAACATAATAATAGCATTTTTTTTTCTTTAATGGATTATAATGGATTATAGGATCCCCCTGTAAGATATAGAAAGGCAATTTGTGAACACAAACTACAAATGGCAGTCAAGAGTTCTCATTCTAGAAAATGAGGGAAAGCTAATTATAATGGCAATCCTTTAGTTTACGATTGTGGCAAACAAGCTGAACATTTGTGGGATTGCCTCAACAGTTGTTCTCTACTAAAGAAATAATTTATTGTTGGCTAGTATAAAAGGAATTTGCTTTGTGACTGGTGAACCTTAGGAGAAGACTTGCTGCTAATGTAACAACTGTCCCGGCCAGGGCTGTTTGTAGGATCAGAACCACAGAAAACATGCCTAGCCTTTCTGTATATGAAGGCTGCACCATCCAATCTGTGGGTTGTTGTTGTTAGTTGTGAAGTTGTGTCCGACTCATTGTAACCCCATGGACAACGTTCCTCCAAGCTTTCCTGTCTTCTATCATCCCACGGAGATCATTTAAGCTCATACCTACTGCTTCAGTGACTCCATCCAGCCACCTCATTCTCTGTCGTCCCCTTCTTCTTTTGCCCTCAATCTTTCCCAGCATTAGGCTCTTCTCCAGTAAGTCCTTCCTTCTCATTAGGTGGCCAAAGTATTTGAGTTTCATCTTCAGAATCTGGCCTTCTAAAGAGCAGTCAGGGTTGATCTCCTCTAGGACTGACTGGTTTGATCGCCTTGCAGTCCAAGGAACTTGCAGGAGTCTTCTCCAGCACCATAGTTCAAAGGCCTCAATTCTTTGGCGCTCAGCCTTTCTTATGGTCCAACTTTCAGAGTCATACATTGAAAGGTTTATTGTTCTTTAGGAAAAGACCAGCTGCAAACAACTGCCCTTGGTATTTGCAGAACCAGGAGCACTGAAGATTTGTCCAGGTGGAATATCTGCCCATTTCAGGTTTCTTGACAAGAACTGAGTAGGTAATTCTCAGATGCTACTCTTGATACAGCTTGACTAAGTCCCTAGGTTCAAATTCACTGAAGCTCCTCAGACACACAGTATAGTAGATAAGAATCTTTCTTGCATAGAAGATGTAAACACTTAAAATGGTTGATTGCTTTTTGTTAGAGTAAAGAGGTGATTCTTTATTTTACCCATTGTATATAATTTGACAATCCTTCAAGGTGGATCAGACCAGGAAACTGACTCAACAAGTTTCAATGGAACTCTAGTTTATTATTAACAGAATCTTGAATGCCTGATTGCATTTTCTCTCCCTTCCCTCTTATATTCCAGGATGTTAGGGTAGAGCCAATTTGAGTTTCCTCCTCATGTTTTGCTTCCCAATGTTAAGCATGTTTTTGTAACCCTTTTTGCATACTTTTTCCCAGGTCACCTCTGTATTTCTCTACAGGAAACTTCTTTTTCCTGCTTTTCCCAGTTGCTCTGGCCTGTTTTTTTGATCTTAAAACTGAGTGAATTGTTTATATAACTGACAAGTCTAGTCTGAGAAATTCTAGCTCTCAACCTAACTTTTGCTCCTTGTGGTGGTGGTTTTGCCATTAGTAGGCTGCTGATAAGGAAGTGACATCCCTTAAGTGGTTCTTTTGACATCCCTTAAAGTGGAGAACTCTATTTTCATTGCAAGTATTGGAGCTGGGATTACAATTGGGATGAGTTACCAAATGTTGCTGGCCTTACTAAAGTATGGTTTCCTAGAATGAGATGATCAGGGATATTGAAAAGAGTGAGGACTGAATTTTAAAGGAATTCCAATTTGCCTGTTACATTTATTGGAAAGTTTATGGATTTAGAGATCTCAGTTATGATCTACTTTCTGATGAGCTGAATTTGTTTTCCGGACTCAGTTTTGGCATCTCCTTTTGAGACAGTATCTATATAATCTTGTCTATCTAATCTGGAGTAATAGATTCCTGCACCGAACAGGGAATTGGATTTTATAATCCAACTCTGGATTTTAAATTGTGCTTGACTCCTTAACTGAAATACTTTAGCTCACCTCTTTTGTTCAATGTTCTTTATCTTTTGCCCTTATAAAAAATTATAATGTTTGCTCCTTGCCGTTTTGCTTATGGGTGCTTTCTTGGCTGCTTTTGGACTATTTTGATTTAGATTTGGAAATTTGTTGAAGACTTAATTTCTTTTATCCCTTGTGGTTGGCAGCCCTCAGGCATAAAGGTTAAAGGACAAGTGAGATGTAATCAGGACTGACATGTTCTTGTGGTAAAAGCTCATGTCCTGAATATATCCTGGTTATTCTTGGGAGATACATTATTTTTTGCAGCCTTTTTCAGTCTATGCTTGTAGTTTGAAACTGTAGCTCCATCTGGATTCTATCAAACATGCATTTAATGATATGTTCTATTCAGTTAAAGGGAGATATTTATATTTTATTTCTTATCTTTTTCAATCCTTCAGTAATCTTTTCTATAACTTGCATCTTTAGAATCTTTCTCTCTCTGTTTTTGTATTACCAGTGTCTTCTTTAGGCAAACCTGTTCTTCAGCAGAAAGGAATACTTTTCTTGTATATGTTCAAGGTTAACAATATCCATCATTCTTTTCAGATTGATCACAAATAGTGCCACATCACGGCAATCATTATCATCATAATCACCATTAATAATATGCACTGTTTTAAGAGGTATATTTTGAAGAGGTGTGTACCACATTATATATACATACTCTTATGGTCGGGCTCCTTTCCTCTGATTTGTGGAAATTGAGTGGAATAATAATCCCAATGTGCATAGTCTACACACCTTTTATCTACAGTTATTTGAAACAAGATTTCATATACTTAATCCTGAATAAACCCTACCAGAAGGGCTTTATAAAGCCCTCTAGGGGACTGGAGGCTAAAACATATGACGAAAGGATGCACGAATTTAGTATGTCTAGTTTAATGAAAAGAAGGACTAGGGGTGACATGATAGCAGTGTTACAATATCTAAGGAGCTGCCCCAAAGAAGAGGAGGTCAACCTATTCTCTAAAGCACCTGAAGGCAGGACAAGAAGCAATGGATGGAAACTAATCAAGGAGAGAACCAACCTAGAAGTAAGGAGAAATTTTCTGACAGAACAATTAATCAGTGAAACAACTTGCCTCTAGAACAGGCTTGTTAAACTGGCGGACCACGGGCCAGATGCATCACTTGCAGGCCACGCCCACCCCAGCTTTGCAAAGGCAAAAATGTCACAATATGTCACCTGACGTGATTGAGTTTGACACCCATACTCCAGAAGTTGTGAGTGCTCCTGGAGGCTTTTAAGAAGAAATGATGTGAAATGGTGTTGGATTTCTTGCTTGAGCAAGGATTGAATTTAGAAGACATCCAACTCTGTTGTTCTAAGTTTTTCTATATTGTTAATCAGTATATACTTAATAAAATGACCTTTGCCTCTCTTGTCTTGCTGAATATTCAGCAACCGTGTTCAACACTTGCACCTATTTCCTAAGTGGTGATTAAAACTACAGCTGAAAGGCAGTTGGCAGAAATAATTAAATTAATTCCTACACAAAACAGGGCCATACTAAGATTGCCAAGTTAGCAATGGTTAAGGATTTCATTTTGACCATGATGATCAACGACCTCTCTTGTAATTTGGCCTGAATCATTCAGTAGGACATATACTAGATTTCATATTCAGTTTGAGATGTTGATGAGAAAGTAGAGGGGCTGATTGTAACTCTGATATACTCACATATACTCCTCAGTCAGTTTGTTGCTGGTGGCTGCTATTGGCCTTTACGGGGGTGGGGGGAGGGGAGGATTGGTTAAAGATCAGTCAAGAGAATCCACTCAAAGTGCTATATCCGGATGATTCCTAACTGCACTTAGGGGCTTGTATATCTTATCTGTTAGCAATACTCACTGAAACCTTGGCAAATCTGTGCAACACGAAAATATGCAACGTAAGGGTAGTGCTTGACTTACAACCACTTGTTTAGTGACTGTTCAAAACTACAACTGAAAATTACACTGAAAAACATGACTTACAAACAGCCCCCAATACTTATGACTGTCGTAGAATTCCCACAGTCATGTGATAAAAATGTGGGTGCTTAGCAACTAATTTGTATTTATGATGTTTGAGGCGTCCTGGGGTCATGTGATCATTTGTGACTTCCGGAAAGCAAAGTAAATGGGGGAAGCCAGATTTGCCTAACAATCTGCAGTAATTAGCTTAAAAATCATAACATTGGATATGATTCACTTAACAAACATCCTGTTTAGCAACAGAAACTATGATTTTTACTACAGAGTGGCCTTTTGGTACGATATAAAAACTGGAACAAGATGCTGTATTGATTTGTTTAGGTATGTAACAGTCAAAGCTAAATGGAATTCAGTGATATCATTCACAGGATTGCCAGCTAATTGGTTCAATTTCCAGGCACAAAGATCAATCAAGCTCAT